AGAAGATTGCCTCCCATGTCTTGACCAAGTGCACCTGTGAGAGAAAGGCCTCTTGTGATGATCTTAACATTTGAGCAGGCCAGGAGCATCCCCTCAACCACTCCATATGATGGTAGTGGCAGATTGCTGTGTAATTAAAGACTCCAAGGCCCTCACCCATATCCTCACCAAGAGCGATTGTGAAGGGAGTGGGAGTGAGAGAAAGGCCTCTCCTTAATGCCTGGGCAGGCTCATAGAGAGTGATGTGGTTGTTTAGAATAGATAGCTTGGACCCAAGCCATTTAAGGGCTTTATAGGTTAAAACCAACACTTTGAATTGTGCCCGGAAATGGACTGGCAGCCAGTGGAGCTGCTGTAACAGGGGAAGTTATGTGTTCCCCGTAAGCCGCCACAGTCAGCAAACTGGCTGCAGCATTTTGGACCCACTGGAGTTTCTGAACACATTCCAAAGGCAGCCCCACATCGACTGTGTTACAGTAATCCAGCTGAGATGTGACTCGGGTATGTGTCACTGTGGCCAGATCAGACCTCTCAAGAAAAAGTCACAGCTGGCACAGTAGTTTTAACTCGTGGCCACTGCCGGCACCTGGGCATCCAAGCTCAGAGATGAATCCAGGAGCATGCCACCCGAGCTGCGCGCCTGTGTTTTCAGAGGGAGTGCAGCCCCATCCAGCACAGGCTGTGTCCCTATTCCTTGATCTGCTTCGTGACTGACCAGGAGTACCTCTGTCTTGTCTTGATTAAGTTTCAGTTTATTCACCCTCGCCCAGCCCATTGCTTTCACCAGATTCTGATCTAGAACTGGTACAACTTCCTCGGATTGAGATAGAAAGGAGAGGTAGAGAGGGGGGTTGTCAACTAACTAAATGATCAAGTAGGTTGACCCTGTCGCTAGATGTCACATTTCTCCCACATGGCTCAATAAGACGTGGTAGCAGTGAAAATGATGTGCTTCATGATTCAAGAAACAAATACACAGAGGCAAATGTTGGCAGCCTTTATTTGAGCCATGCGAACTTAGTGCCCTGCTGAGTGCCTTCAAAGAGAGAGGGTTTGTCAAACACCTTGCATGCCACAAGGACTGGCGGGTTGTGTTGTGCTGAGTGGGGCAGAAGCTGTCTGAATTTGGGAACGTGAAGACAGCTGAATTTGGTAAGACAGTTCTAATAAGCTGTGAAATTTGTGGTAGTAACTTCCCTGTTAGATAGATGGAAAACATTAATCCTAGATGCAGCCCTGGAAAATGCTGGAGAAACAAGAGTTACTGTCTTATTTGGATGTCATTTGTATGCATATCTGACAATGTGACTGGATGTCATTTGTCTTCACTGCTGTACTTTCGGTAGTGATGTGCAGTTAGGATAAGCATTGGAAGCGGAAAACCCAGTGCAGAGGATTGTGGCCCGGTTGTCTTGACAGTCAGGATAGGCTCCTTTTAGATCTTCCCCATTCGTGGAGAAATAATTAGTGCAACAACGACAACTAAACGAAGTAAGAAAGAGTGGATGGCAGACTTGCCACCCCCATCTTAATTTTCCCATAGAAAACGGGGAACTTTCACAGTACAAATTAAACGTCACAAACATTTGAGACTATACAAATTGACTCATAATTCTTGTGCAAATTATTTGACTCAGTGTAAGTCACTGTATCTGACTGGGTAACAAACTGTGCACTCTTGATGCTGGTTTCTATCAGCTGCTGAATCGCTGGTTGATTCACAAGTCTGTAGTGTGTGCAGGAGGAAATCATGTTAAGGCCAAAACCAAAATATTCTTGAGATAAAGCTAGCAAGCTCCAGGCAGATTCCTGGCACAAACAATGGGAACGAGGGATGAGGGCCTCTGCAGTTGTTAATTTCTGAATTGCAGTTCTCTCTCTTTCTCTCCCTCTCTCTGCTATGAACATTGTGGGAAAATATAGGGAGGACTGGCTGTTTTGTAAACTTCTGCCATAAAAAAAATCCTTCCTGGGACATGGGTGGACACTCCATTTAGAAATGAGGCACTAAGTTATTTTGGAATGCAGACATTAAATTTTTTCATGGCTAGACCAAACTGTGTGTTTTTTGTTGTTGTTGTTGATTTGTAATGGAACAGATCCTTACTTAGTTGCTTTCAAAGTCAGCCCTAACATTTGCCAGAGTGAGGCAGCTGCCTTAAGCTGCAGATTTTGAGTGCTGTAAATGGGCAGGAAATTGTTTCCTATTTAATTCATTATACAGTAGTTGGACTGCAAGGTTGGAGCAGAGGTTCTTGTGGGATTTTCTGCCTCATGTGCTAACAAATAAGATGGCTGGTTTTCGATATATTGCACTGAAATGAGTGTGGATGTGGGTGTCATTTCCAGCTCTGCTTCAGGCAGCAAAATGTTTTGGGTTGGTTCTGGTTGAAATTAGTAAAGTCAAATTTTCCAAATAAAGTTAATATCTGCCATTAAATAGCATTTCATACTGTGCCTATGCTTGATACCCAGAATTATTTTCAACAATTTAGCAAATGAAATCAGTTTATTTTTTTCACATTGGACTATGTGTAGTTAGGTGGCTGTTTTCCATCCAATTTTGATGCTTTCTCAGTTATTTAGTTTACATGTAGCCCTTCAAAATGACTAGCTATATGCTGCCACACCAAATAAATGTGCAGGGCTTGGAATGTTACTTTTAAAACACAGTTTGTTACAATTATAGGTGCCCTTCCCCTGAAGGTAGTAAGTAACAGTTGTTGCTACAGTTGGAAAAATAATTATTTCCTATTTTTAATTTTCTTGCAGTCAATCACAATACTGTACTTACTATTTTGTTAACTATTTTAAAAAGATTGGAATGGTGCAAGCCATTGGTACAAAGCCAATTTTTACTCATGCATCTCTTTATCACTTTAAAGCTCAGAGCAGACCATCAGCTAGCACTCGATTCATGTGATTACTCTTCCACCACTATTAAGTGAAGCTGAAGCCCCATAACTATGAAAGTAACTAAAATATAGTAAGCAAATCATGAAGAGAAAAATGCTATCCCTTGCTTACCAGGTCATCCACAGAAATAATTTCAGGTGAGGCAAAGGATGCTAATTATACATACAGATTGTTGACCTGACCATAGGTTTTATACTATTAGCAAAACAATCCATTCACTACAATGTGGTGCTGAAAGGAAGTCCTGAAAGAAATACCAAATTTAGTATTTGGGGGGGAGGTGTCTTCAGTTGCCCATCAATCTCCAGAACTCCAATACCTGTTCAGTAACATTTGGAATCTAATGTGGTTATACTTTTGTTCCCAGAGTCAAGGAGAGAATGAATGACAAAAAGTCATTGCTTTTAAGTGGTTATTTCCAAGCTTTGGAAGCATGTATTTAGAGCTCCTTGAGGTAAAATGAATGACAATGTGGGATGAGGTTGTCTAGGGCAGCCATTCTCAAACTTTTTTTAACTGTAGCTACAAACACAATATGAAATAAATATAGGCCACATCAGGATTGTATAAGTCACATAATGAACCTTATAAGGTGGTTTTGTGAAGAATTGTCTCCAGTCTATGCCTCCCTTCAAATGTGCCTGGGCCCCCCTCCCTTCAGAACGGCTGCTCTCAGGCAATCCTCACTTCAAATGTGCCAGGGCCCCCTTCAGGGAGCCATATGCCCCTCTCCCTTCAGAACGGCTGCTCTCAGGCAATTTCTCATCTGTGGGAAAGCCTGCAGTTCTGTCTGCATCTTCCATAGAGGTGCTTTCTAAAAATACCATAACAGGCTTACCCAAGGCTTGGGGGTTGTTTTGACATGCTGCTCTTTGATCCCTGTACCCTAGCCCACACTGATCAGTGATTCTCTGGGCCCTTTTGTTATTTACCTTGCCACTGCCTGGCTTGGCTCTTGGGCAGCCATTCTCTTTGCCAGGACCCTTTAAAAATATTGCATCAAATCTCTGCTTATGAACTCTGTAATTCTTCCTAAAAATGTAAGGCAACGATGGGCTAGCTATTAGGGGAAAATATCACATATTTATTAAAATAATACTTTAAAAAACTGATTTAATGGTCATTAAAATATTCATGTTTTGAAGCAATCCAGAGATCTTACAAGCTCACACATTGTATGACCACCAAAGGACAGGTTTTTGCATTATACAATCAACTTTAAGAATATAATTATGGGAAAACACAAGGCCCCAAACTGACTTTAGAAACTGATTTAGGTTATAAGCATATCAGAAGACAAATGAAGTCACATGTGGACCTCACACTTCTTTAAACCCATCTTTGTAAAATAAAAATAGCTGTTTGTTGATATTTATAACCCTACAGACTGTCCAGACACAAAATCATATTCCGACCCCCCATGTTAGACATGAATAGAACGTACTTTGCACTGTTTGAAAGTGTGCTCCTTTCAAAACAGTGTCCAAATTACTTAACAAAGTAATTGCATAGAATGTGCAATTAAAGAAATATCTTATGTTGTTCCCCTTGTTCATTGATAACAATGAAATATTACAGTTTTACACAAAATATTAATTTTGCTAATGACTGAAGCTGCACCCTTAGAAATGGTGCAATACTGAAAAGATTTAAAGGGTCTCAGTACTCACAGCTGGCTCAAAATAATTTGAGGTGGACTTTTCCTCATTTGGACAATACTGAATAACCTGGTAAATCAGAGTCCCAGCATCTCTGTGACATACAGTTACTAAATCTTTTTAAAATCTTGCACATGGGTTTGGCCACACTTGATCCCAGTCATTCTAGGACTGCTCTGGGTCATTTGCTGCTGAATATACTGACCAAAATAAAATAAAATAAAATAATCCCAGTTTTGCATTCACTATCTAGTATTGTTAAGTCTGATAGGTTTAAGAACAAAACAAAACTGGCCAATGGCACATTTCTCTTAATAGCACAAACAGGAAATGGCTGTGGCAGTGTAGAGCTTATTCTTTGAAGAGTTAATATTCTCCAGGGTGATCTAGGAGTTGTGGTTGCAACATGTTTGAGTTGGAAATGAGTCACTCCAGCTGCTGGGAGATTTATAAATCTGGGAATGGGGGATGGCTGGATTGAGAGAAAGGGAAAGGCAGAGCAAAGCTTGAGCTACAGAAAGAGGAGGTGGAGGAAAAGTTCCGGACCTGCTTTGTTTCAATTGCAGAAAAGTTTTTTTTTTTCCTGCAAAGCTGGGTGGATTGTCCAGCGATTTCCTGCGAGAAAATTGCTACTGCTGTTCCATCTTGCAGTGAGAGATTGCAGAGAAGCTGAACGTGAGGATGCCGTGGTTCATGCTGCTGTTCCAGGTTCATGCGTTTCTCTGGTCTGCCAAAGGTGCTGCCCTCAATGGCGTGGAAGAGGAAGAAGCCCTGGTATGTAGGGGCTGGTATGTGCCCCCCCTCCTTTGAAAATCCAGGCTGTGAGTCTTGATTTGATGCAATGGCAGCAATGGGTCAGATTAGAGAGTGTGGATGACAGGCGCAAGATCTTCCCCTGCCTCTGGATGAGACTCTAATTCGAGCCCTGATTCCCTTTTCCTCCCAACTTTTTCTAACTCTTTGGTCCTCCTGACCCTCCATACCTGGTGGAATGTGGTGTTTTCTGAAACCTAGATCCCTGGATGCAAAGGCTTTCTCAAAAGTCATGACTAGTAAACTGGCAAGGTCCCTACTCTTTACCCTATTCTTCCCAGGGATGGGAAGCTTGAGGGAAGATCTCCCTAGCCAATGGTTGCTTGGGTCTTCCTGCTGCTCCAACAATTAAGGGGAATATTGTGGGTGGGCACTGATTCACACCCAAGAGATAGAAAGCAAGCAGCCTTCTTGGGAGGGTTAGCAATGTGAAATGTTCACAGTGTGTACTGGCAGTGGACAAGCAGTTTTTCTCAGATGCCCCAGGGTTTCCTTTTTCTTTATAATTCTGCTCTTGCTTCTTAAATCCAGACAACTTTCTGAAGGATGTACGATCGCAATCACCGACTTGCTTTCAAGTCATCCCTTTCCCTTCTTATTCCTCACCCACCAGAGGCTGGACCATGTCATGGCAACTCTTAACTTGGGATACAGTTGCTTGAAACAAAAATGTAACATTGCTTCCAAACCATTCTCTATGGGTTTTTTTAGCCAAAAACACCATCCCCTTCTAGCTCTCTTCTTACCACTCAGGACCTCAGTCTAGACTTCTCACATTTTCCTATGATATGCAAAGGAAGCTATGGGTAGAGATTGGGAAAGTTACCTGTTTTTGAACTATGGCTCCAAGAATCCCAGTGGCTACACACACACACACACACACACACACACACACACACACACACACACACANNNNCACACACACACCCACACACACACACACACACACACGGACGCACACACACACACACGGACGCGCGCGCACACACACACACACACACACACACACACACACACGGACGCACACACCTACTGCCTGAGGAATTCTGGGAGACTTTTCCAGTCTTAAGTACTATATCATCCATCCTAATGGCTGGACCTTTTGTCCCCTTGGGGGTCCAGGAGGCGTCTCCTCCAAAGAAAGGAGAGTTGAGGAATGGCACATGTGGAGGGAGAGGTTGGGAAGGAAACAGCCTCTTCTTTGTACCACTTTTTCCTGACACATCATTGCTTGCTGAGACCTCCGTTTTGTTTTTTGCCAACTAAGCAATATAATAGTAGCAATTTCCCACCAGAGAAGGAGGAAACCCTCCAAGCTGAAAACAGTTGGCTTTTATTTATATGTGATGGAGTGGAATGAGGCCTAAATAGGGAAAGAAGGGAAGAGCTGGGAATGAAGGGCATGCCTTCCTCCCCTATGTTTTGCTCCGAAGGGAAGCAAAGGGACAATGTGCACAAAGTTCTCTGCTTGGCTTCAGACAGGTCCAGTCACTGCCCACTTACTAGATTTTTCTGTAAAAAGAAAGAATGAGCATTTAAAATGGAAGCATTATATGGAGGGAAAACCAGGCCCAGGTTTGAGTCCTGCTCAACCTGAGACATTACCACAGAGACTTCTCTGCAAGAAGACACATCTCTCTAGGGCTGTGAGCCAATGACTTGGGTCTTGTGTTGTCTATTTATGTGCCCTGAGGGGAATGTTTTAACATATATTGCACCCTTTCAGGACTATCTGCTACAGTTTGGGTACTTACAGAAGCCACTAGAGCAGTTTTCTAATGACTTCACCCAAGAGGAAATCAAGGATGCTCTAAGGTAAACTAAAACCCCACAAAACACCTATTGCAAAGATTTCTCTTCACCCCATCCATAATTTCCCATTATGTGTTGCCTAGCAACTAATCACTTGGTTAAGGTTTAACTCCTCTCCCACTGCCTCGGCTTCCCTAGGTCCTTCCAGCTTGCCTCAGGACTGCCTGTCACTGGGCAAGTAGATGCAGCAACCCTCGGCAAGATGCGGCAGCCCCGTTGTGGTGTGGAAGACCCATTCAACGAGAGGACTCTCAAATATTTACTCTTGGGTGAGGTCTCAAATATCTACTTTTCACCTCGTGAGTTGAGGCAAAGTGTGGAGCTGGGCAAATGATCCCGTGGCATAAAAGGAGGGCATGGGTCTGGGGATCCCCCTCCCTGGAAGAAAATAGACTTTTGATGCTTTTGGCTGTTTGGATTGTAGCTGTGAAATCTATCCTTTGAACTATGAGGCACTATTGAGACCTAATTGTTAGAGAGCTGAGTTGTTCTTATAAGGTATATTAACAGACATCTCCATTCTCCAAGCGCAACTTTACCATGGGCCAGCCATCATCCTAGTTAGAACGAGAGTCCAGAAATGTGGTGTAGAGCAGATTTTGAGCAGGCTTGCATTTCTTAGTCTCAGATCATCAGAGAAGAGGTGCTCCAAGACTCCCTGCCTGGGGTGTGTGGATTGCTTAACTCATCCATCGCCAGCACAGCATGGACTCTTAGTGCAGTTGCTCTCTCTGTGCGAAGAGTGGATGCAGTGGCCTACAAGGCTGCACATTCAGCAGATGGAAAGCAACCAGATTTGTGGTTTTTCAAACTTTTTCTGCTGTCAGAAAATCCTTTCCACATCTGCTTGGCTTCCGCAAAACCCAGCACACACTCAGCAAGGCAGGGCTTTGGGACAGATGTGTAGAGACCTATGCAGCGATGTGAGGAGGAGGAGGGCCCCCCAAATGGAGTAGTACTGGCGTACCACAATCCAAAGTAGTATAAATAATAATGGAAAGAGCACCCCTTGCTCTGTAAGGCCGCTAGTCGGCGTAAAAAATTGCCTGATAACACTGCACTCTCAGAGGGCTAGGAGCCAGACCCTTCGGGATTCACTATTCCCCCCCTCCCCAAGTTGAGGATGCAAATTAAAACATACTAAAGAGTTATTTTTAGATGCCCATTTCAAGAGAAGACCAGTTGTGGTGAGCAAGCTCATTTATATACCTTGATTTTTCCAGAAATATTTCTGAAATCCACTGCCGTTCATCACCTGTTTACCACAAGCAGGGAGCCTTGGGGGGGGAGAGCTGTAAGGGGGGGAAATCCACTGTGAGTAAGATGTGAAGTAGCCACGAGTCCCAAGAGGGCCATGAAACACCATGCATGGCTGTAGCGGCTTAGGGTAGTAAGGTATCCAGGCCAGTCATATCCCAAGTGACTCAAGAGGAAGTGTTAACTGATTGATTCCCCTGGGAGTTATTCCCACGTGATTTTGCACAGAACCTTCCCACAGCACGTTGATGCTACGTTTTTCTCTTCTCCCCCAACCCAACCCCACTTTGCTACTTGGGGACATGAGTTACGTGAGTTTACAGGGATACACAGATGAAGACTGAGCAGTAGGGAGCTGCGCAGCCCCCGAGGCAATTAAAAACACAACCCCTTCTTGTTGCCTCTCTCTCTCTCTCTTTGCTGTGCAACCCCTGTGCACCTGAAAGGCAGATGTGTGGCAAATTCTCCCTCTGCAGACAGGTCTGGTTTCCAGCAGCTGCTACTGCTTCATTGCTTCTTCCTCTGCCCCCCTGGCGTCCAACACCTACACCTCCCTCGTCCAATTCCCCCCCGGCCCCCATTTCTGTTTGTCAAGGTTAGGGATGCAGGTGCTAGGATCCCTTTTAAAAAAGAAGACGAAAACAGGAAAAGGGAAGCTTCAGACTATGGAGGAAATGCTACAAAGTGCAATGAAATTCACCAAAGGGTTTGGGATGGGCAAAAAAGGTACAAGATGTCAGTAGCGAAAAACCTGTTTATGCCTGTATTCAAGAGAAAAATTGGCGGGATGGAAGAGTGATGGGCTTAACAAGATCAGAGCTTAACAGGATCAGAGCTTAACAGTGAATTTAAAGGGGTAAAAATGCTGTTTGGGACAGCTCTAAGACGATTTCAGAACATATGAGGCTTGCAACAAAATGTGCTGTACGAAACCATCAGGATTGTAAGCAGCCAAGCAAGTCCTTTCCCATGATGCTCCACTGCATTTCCCCTACCCCTCTGGTTTTCTGTTTAAGCTGTTTTTTGGAGTTATCTTCACCTCATCCCCTCAGTCCCTCTGCCCAACAAGAATTGCCCATACATCTTCTAACTTTAGCCTGCTTTGATGAAGTATCCTGGGAATAACTCCGTCCTGTGCAGGATGGCATCCTTTCAGTTGTTTTGCTACCTTTTCCCCAGAGCTGAGATCCAAAGTGTTTTACAAAGCAAATTAAAAACAATAGAAAGTTGAAATACAGTAAAATTGCAAACATTAAGATAGAATTAACTGTGATATTAAAATGAATTTTAAAATGAAAACTCTTTAAACTCACTTGATAAAAAATGCTGCTTTACCTTAAACAAATAATTTTGGATACACAGAGAGCCCCCACTTTGCTATTGCTGTATAATATGATAGACATCGTTTTCTTGTCCAGCAAGCTGAGCTGCGACTCTCTTTTGTCCTCGGATCCCACACTGCTTCTGCGTGGGATGAATTTCCCAAGTTCTCTCTGACGTTTCTTGCTCTGTGTCCCCCCTTGCAGGTCGCTGGCGCAAGAGGCACCTGACTTACCGGATTTACAGCTACAGTGACGATTTGGGGGTTGCAGGCACACGGACTGCCATCCAAACGGCTTTCAGATACTGGAGTGACGTGACACACCTCACGTTCCAGGAGGTGCGGACTGGCCGTGCCGACCTCCGCCTCTCCTTCCATGGTTCCACTCCTTGGGGCTGCTCTCGGCCCTTCGATGGGCCTGGTACGGACCTAAGCATGGCTGGGACCCATGATCTGGGGCTTAGAAAGGGGGTGGCAAAGGAATCAAGAAGGGGTGGGTGATGTTCCAGGGAGTCTGGATCTGCAGCAGGAGATGCTGATATGGACTGCAAAGAGATCTCAGGGGGAACAGAAGATGGAAGGTTGGGTAAGGAGGGCTTCACGACGAGAGGAGCAGGACAGAAACCCCAGTGTGGCAAATCATGCACCAGAATGGGCTGACTACAACCCGAAGGTGGGCGGCTGTGGCCTCCAGATATTTCTGGACTACAACTCCCATGATTCCTCACCATTGGCTCTGCTGTGCAAGGGCTAATGGGAACAGGAAATTTTTAAAAAGTCTAGAGGTCTCAGCCCTACTATAAGCTAGTAATGTGGCTTAAATCAGGGCTTCACCTAACCAGGCAGAAGCACTTGGCCTAAATAACTGAGTCTAAAAATGGATAACTTGTGTGGTGTAGTAGTGGATAGAACCAGGGACTAAGACTCAAGAAGCTTGGGTTCAAATCCCCACTCAGTCATGGAAACACATTGGTTTTTTTGGACTGGGAAAACCACTCTGGTAAAGGTAAAGGTTCCCCTTGATAATTTTTGTCCAGTCGTGTTCGACTCTAGGGGGTGGTGCTCATCCTCGTTTCCAAGCCATAGAGCCAGCGTTTTTTGTCCGAAGACAATCTTCCGTGGTCACATGGCCAGTGCGACTTAGACACGGAACGCTGTTACCTTCCCACCAACGTGGTCCCTATTTATCTACCCGCATTTGCATGCTTTTGAACCGCTAGGTTGGCGGGAGCTGGGACAAGTGACGGGCGCTCACTCCGTCACGTGGATTCGATCTTACGACTGCTTGGTCTTCTGACCCTGCAGCACAGGCTTCTGCGGTTTAGCCCGCAGTGCCACCACGTCCCACCACGCCACTCATTCCATTTACTTTTAAAACCATGTTATGGTCACTGTACCTTGGTTCTGGCTTGAAGACATATAACAATAACAACTTATTAGTTGCTGTGTGTCATCTGAATCATGACAAAAACAGACCTAAACTAGTTAATATCCAAATTAAATCACGCCAGTTAAATTGTTTTGTAGACATCTGGTCCAATTAATGCACCTATGTCTCTATGGGTTTCCCAACTTGGGCTGAACTGCATTAAACCCATTGGTGCTTCATAGGTGGCATTTTATAGAGAAGAGAAGTGAGTGAAAGAACTCCGTGCTGGGCAAAGGAATCCATAGGATTCAGTCCTGTAGTACAGTGGTCCCCAACCTTGGGCCTCCAGATGTTCTTGCACTACAATTCCCAGAAGCCTTCACCGCCACCTCTGCTGGCCAGGATTTCTGGGAGTTGAAGTCCAAGAACATCTGGAGGCCCAAGGTTGGGGAACCACTGCTGTAGTAGACAACTAGGTTCATTTATAGGACAGGATTTCCCAGGAGCAAGGCTGGCTTCCAAATAATTCACATTTTCTTATTTCCCTCAGGACATGTCTTGGCCCATGCTGACATCCCTGAATTAGGCACAGTGCATTTTGACTCAGCTGAGCACTGGACAGAAGGGACTCCGCACGGTGTCAACTTGCGCATCATTGCTGCACATGAGATTGGCCACGCCCTGGGCCTGGGACACTCCCGGCATCCAAGTGCACTGATGGCTCCCTCCTACAGTGGCTATCGGCCACACTTTCGTCTCCATCGGGATGACATCGCGGGCATCCAGGCCCTCTATGGTATGTTCTAGGATGGGCCCACCCTATCCAAGGGACCTTTGCTTTGCACATGAGTGGGGCAGATGTGGGATGAAGTAATGGACTTTACTGCTCTTCCTTCTTGCTTCCCACCCCCAGCTTCTTTCTTTCTGGATTTTGGGGCTCCCTCCAGTTCGTCTGTATGAAGACAGAGTGTGGAAGAGTTACTTTTTTGGACAACAATTCCCAGAATCCAGCAGTGGCCATGCTTGTTTTGGGAGTTCAATAAGTTGTTCTTATTGAAGTACATTGCAGCCATGAGCCTCTCTTGAGTCCAAATGGGGGTGATTCGAAAATGTAACTGAGAAAAAGGCATGGAAACAATAAGGCTTGAAGTAGGGAGTTTTTTAAAATGCTTATGCTTGTCCTCCTATGCATGGTTAGTGAAACCTTAATTTTGTAAACCACTGTGAATTTTTGTGCAAATAGCAATTTTATGGATATTTAAATACATAAGACAGATTACACTTGAAATATGTGTTTAGGTGAAAGCAAGGAAGACATTTGCTGAAAACCTTCTGCTTCCATCCCCCTTTTCCCCCCCAGTTCATCTTGATTGCAAAAAAGTTTTCATATACTCTTTTTTATTTTTTTTATTTTTTTAGTAACAGCATGATGGCTGTTTTGGAAAAAAAAAGTAATGTTTTCTTGACAAACTAGAAATAATCGTTCTGAGCCTATGGTATATTCCCTCCTCACCCCAATATATGGTTTCTCATTTACTCTGCTTCCCTTCCAACTCTGCTCTGCTACGCCCTGCCTGCCTGCCTGCCTGCTCTCCCTCAACTTGTGTATCCCTTAGCAACCGGGAGGTCTGTTTCCCATTATGAGAAGCAAGGGGCTGGAGGCCAATGGTTTCTGAATCATGAAGTGAGCTGCCTGCTGCTCCCTAGCAGGAGAGATAGGCAGTTGCCAGGCAAGGCTGGAGCCTCTTCCTGAGGCCTGAATGGAGTTCTGCTTGGGTGAGGAGGCAAAGTGCCAACACATCCTGACAGAGCCAAATGATGGCCTGGTAGATTGGACAAGCGTGTCCCTTGCCCTCTACTCCTTTTTTTCTTCCAGCCTCTACCCATCACTGGAGTCTTTGTTTTCCTTGCAGGGAAGAAGACTCTGTCAACAATGGCAACTGTGACCTCTCCTGCCCACACAACGGTCCCCAGTGTCTCACTAAGGCCGAGTAAAGTTCCTAACCTGTGCAAAGATGGCCTGGATGCAATGATGTTGGGTGAGTTTCCTCAGGATGAAAGAGTTGCAGCACTAAACAAGTGTCCTCTTTTTCCCAGAACATAGAGAGTGACTACATAGTCAAATGCTGCTGGATTTGATCCAGTTATAAAACAGGTGAATTCAAAGTTTTTTTTAACTGATCACATGATTCAAATTAGACTGTCCCTTTTTGCTCCTAAAATGGCTTTTTTTTCTTTGCTGCGTTTTCAAGCCAGAACTACTGTATATGAACTGGCTTTTTCCTGCGCAGTTAAAAATGGCTTTTTTTTTCTCTGCTGCATTTTCAAGCCAGAACTATATGAACTGGCTTTTTCCTGCGCAGTTAGCTAGTTGGTGATGTATGCAGTTAGGATATAATATTCAAGCCCAGGGGGACATGTAAAAGCAAAGCACTGTGATTTTAATGTGGGTGATTGGGTGATAATCCTGAATTCTGTGAAAGACAGTAAGCCTCATGTGGGAAGGCCCTTTTGTTGTGATGTGAAAGCTTAGTACAGTATTGTTAATTAATAGGCAGATCTGAAAGTTTGTCAAGCCAATAATTTAAAACCATATGTGGCCAAAGATGAAGTAATTCCTACATGCATTATCTGAAAGTAAGGGAAAAGATAATGGATGAGAAGCAGAAGGTGGTGATTCCTGTTATGGAATTTCTTGGTGTATGAATTATGGTGTATTTTGCAAAATTACTGTTCAAACGTTTGATGTTCTGTACTCTTAGAAAGTAAAGTACCTTGCCATGCTACATTTCTATACGTCTGAAGCTTTAAATAAGAAAGTGGCTTCACAGCAAATGATAAAAGAATCAGCAGTGGCGGGACCAGAGGAAAGAAGAAAAGAAGCAGGGGTGGAATGTGACTCACAGTATGAACTGTGTACTCCCAAATCAATCCACAGCACTGACTGTGATTCCAAACATAATGCAGGCTGTGAATAAATCCAGTGTAGTCACACTCATAATCTATCCACCCCGGGCTTGCAACAATGGGGATCTCATACATGCCCTTCCTTAACAACTCATAGTTCGTTTTGATATGTAAAGAAGAGCATTATGTGATAGCGGGTGAGACTAAAGAGAGACGGAACAAAAGGCACACAAATGAGACATTGTACTGGCTGTCCTTTTGTATTTTTAGTCCCTTGTAAACCTCTGTAACCTGTTGCAGTAAATTCATTGTGTTAGCTCTTTAACTTTGGGACATGAGAGCTAGTAACGTGCCTCTGGTTATCTAGCAAGTCCTTGGGACAGAAGATTTGAACCCTAGTCTTCCATCCAGCTTCACTCAGAAGCTGTGTGGGTAATTAAAGGTAATGCAGCAACCTGCCATTCCCCCTTTCCTTTGGGAAATAAAAGATGAACACTGTAGAGAAGAAAATAGATTCACACTGATTGACCATTGACCTTTCCTCTTGTACACCTTCCCTAGGGCCATATGACAAGACTTACGCTTTCCGTGGCGATTACGTGTGGACAGTGACAGACTTTGGGATCAACCCACCACTGAAGATCTCTGCATTGTGGAAGGGATTGCCTGGCTGGTTGGATGCTGCTGTGCACTCTCCCCGTACTGGGCGCACCTATTTCTTCAAAGGTCTCTCTCTTTCTCTCTCTCTCTCTCTCTGGCTTCAAGACAAAGAAGTCCCCTTTCCCCAAACTATCTGTTTCTTGTTTCTTTAGGAATTTTCTTTTTCTGTTTATACCTGTCCAAAGCCTCCCCTCAGTAGAACTTTCTCGATACAGTGCTGCCTCGCTTAACGACGATAATCCGTTCCAGGAAAATCGCTGTTAAGCGAAAACATCGTAAAATGAAAATAAAACCCCCATTGAAACGCATTGAAACCCGTTCAATGCGTTCCAATGGGGTAAAAACTCACCATCCAGCGAAGATCCTCCATATGGCAGCCATTTTCGCTGCCTGTATAGCGAGGAATCCATCCCTAAACACAGCGGGGAGCCATTTTAATCACCCGGTGGCCATTTTGAAAACACCAATCAGCTGTTCAGAAAACGTCATTTTGAGAAGAATCGGATCCCGAAGCAGGGGACCGATCATCGCAAAGCAAAATTCCCCCATTAAGACAATTGTTTTAAAAGATTGTCGTTAAGCGGTTTCGTCGTAATGTGGGGCAATCGTAAAGCTAGGCACCACTGTATTCTCGTTTTAAAAGATCGTCGTAATGCAGGGCAATTGTAAAGCAAGGCACCACTGTATTCTAATCCGTCAGCTTCCTATAATAATCTTAGAACTGCAGAGGTGGAAGGGTCCCTATTAGAGATGGGGTTATTTGTATATGAATACCCCTGCACAGCTGGATGTAACAAGGGTCCGGTCCCCTGGGGCCAGACTGTCCACTCATGTGTCTGCCAGCGGTAGCTCTGCTCTCCCATCCAATCACTCCAGAGCCGGTGCCAACGGTGGACACGTAAGTGGACAGTCTGGCCCCAGGGGGGCCAGACTCTCATTACATCCAGCTGTGCGGAGGTATTTGTATACAAATATGAATACCCACTAGGCTGATGGGTAGATAGCTGATCGGGAGCTCTGGAGTGATTGGAAGGGAGCGAGGAATGGTTACATCGAGCTGTGTGGGGGTATTCGTATACAGATACGAATACCCCCATCTCTAGTCCCTATGGATCACTGAGTAAGCCTGTGTCAAGGAGGCACAGTGGGGAATCCAGCTCCCAACATCTATATCTAAACCACTGAGCTACCCAGCGGTTCATTCTAATGGGGATGAAAAAGAGTCAGTATAGGGCATAAGCTGCTTGCATCTGCAGCCTTCTCAGATTTTTGTTGTAAAATCTTCCTAGTGCTTGGTCCAAAAGCCATTTTGGCATGAGGCAAATCAGAAGCCTTGCAGCCTCTAGCATAAGATTGTGATTTGTGAAAACAGTTGTTCATGACTTTGCTATTGCTATTTTAAATCCATAGTTACCTTGTTCTGACTGCAGGTGCCAAGTTGTGGCGTTACCGAGGATTCAAGCTGGATGCTGGCTACCCCAAACCTCTCACTCGTATCCCAGCCAAAATAGATGCCGCTCTGTACTGGCCAGGAAACAAGAAAATCTTCATCTTTAAGGTAAAAAACAAAGAGGATGGTAACAGTATGATGAGGATGATAGAGACCAATTCATTCATTCATTCATTCATTCATTCATTCATTCATTCATTCATTCATTCATTCATTCATTCATTCATTCATTCATTCACTCTGCCTTTCTCCTTTAAAAAAGATTCAAGAGATTAACAATTATTCAGTATTGAGACAGGACTTATTCTGAACCAGTGAAGAATCCTCAAAGGAGATGGATAGTTAGATAATTAAATACTCTATGTTGTGGGGATGCTATTCAGGTGTGGAGTTACTGAACAATGCCATATCCTTTTTATCACAGCACAGTTTTCTCTGCACTTCTTTAAGCAACCTTTGTAGCTAATCCACACAGTTTTATATCGTGATTCACTGGCATTTGAAAGAGGGGAAGCCAGAGTTCTGCAGGGGGAATTCTGTGAAGACATAATGGGCAAAACAGATGTTTTCTGAATACAGGATTTGACAGATGGGTGAGTTTGAAAATAGAGGAGAAAAATGTGGAGCTGTATTAAACAGCACTCTAGAGCTGGAACAGTATGGAAGGGGGAGACTCCTCACTGAATTAAATCTCATGATACCCAGTAATGATAAAACAACATTCTGCCATTGATACTAAGACAATGGAAGGTTGGGATATCCCATTTTTGTTTTTCAAACATTTTAAAAAAGTGTTCATGCAATTTCACATTTCTCTAAGCTTTCATTCCCAATGATGACTTTTTCCATAATAGCAGGGCATGGCCATGGTATACGTTATTATTCTATTCTTCTCTTCTACTGCTGAAGAAACACAGCCAAATGCACAGAGGAGCCATGATCAGTAATTTTCCCATCATCTCTTTCCTTAGGGTACTGGTTACTGGCAATGGGATGAACTGGGGACCCATTTCAGCACTCTCTCCAGGAAGATCTCCACCCTTTTCACTGGGGCCCCTTCCTACCTGGATGCTGCCTTCACCTGGGAGAATGGCAAGGTCTACTTTTTCAAAGGGAAGAATTATTGGAGGCTCAATGACCAACTGCGAGTTGAGAAGGGCTACCCGCTAAACACAGCTGAACGCTGGATGCACTGCTAATGTTGAGGCGGATGCTCAGGCCTGCTAGACCAGGACAAGCATGAATTCCAGTTCTCCTAGGACTCTGCAATGAGATGTTTAAAACAGATACAATGGCACCACCTACAGGTGCCATGCAGGAACAATTCTTCTGAGCATGGACCGTGTTAGGGATGGGAAGGAAAACTACTGACATCTTGTAAGGCTCCTGTCCCTCTTACTGACTTTTGCTCCATGCATTAAACACTTATAGCTTTCTAATGCTGGGCTCAGGAAGCAGCCCATGTCTCTGGACACCAGGAGGATGAATGGCAGAAGTACTGAGCCCACGTGCAGGATACAGGACACCTTGAAGAAGAGGGGGGGAAATAGGGTGGTGGCTTGGGGGTTGTGCCTTCACATGCTAGAATCAGTTGCTGGAGATACTTTTTAGGAGAGCAGAAGGGATATGACACCAGTGTTCACTGCCCATAGGATGAACACTGGGTCGGGTTTCAGCAGCTCACTTTCCTTGTATCTCTTCCACAGAAGAGTTACACTTTTCTAAAAGAAATAATTAAGGCTGAAGTTTCATTAAAAGTATCTAGAACATGGAGCATTTTTCAGAGATTTTGGTATGACATTTGCTCACCCCTGGATCTTTGATGGCTGCATGCATTGCCCTCCAATATTTTGTTTATGATTTTTCTAACAGGAAAAGTCCCCCTGTGCCCTCTAGTGACCCCAATATATATACATATTTTCCTTAAAATTAGAAACTCTGCTCAAGGGTGATAGAGTTTTCTCAGTATGCAACAAAATGGCTCTTGCCCCCTAGAGTACAGGGCATTTTTTAAATAAATATTTTTTGAAAAAGATAGAATTTTTTGTGGGGTGCTGGCCGTGATTGCTAAGATAAAACCAGAAGGTATTCTATAGTAATCAATCATGTGATCTTGCATATCTAACAGACTGTGTTCATGTTAATCCACAGGTCTTGAACATACATAAATGGCTGTTGACAGCCGTTATGCCAGATTCACTCAGTCCACAATCAAAAAATAAATTTCAAAGATACTATTGTGTGGTTGCTCTCTTTCTCCTGCATAGAAACAATTCAGTCATTGTGATGTTTTCATGTTTTTGTTTGTGTTTGCTGGGCTCTCCATTTTGTCACGTGAAGAACAGCTATGGACAAAACTCTTTGTCCCCAGTCAAGATACTTAAAGACAGACAAGTTATTTCAGCACCTGAGGCAGAAGATCCCACAGGCACCTCTCCTCTCTGTGGCAGCAATAATACAGTAACACACCAGATAATAAGCCATTTCCTAACTTTCATAGTTTCTTGCTTTCATTAGGGTGGAACAGTGTGTTTCACCCATGAAGTGACCATGCTGCAGATACATTCTGAAATGGCTGCTTGTCAAGACTGTCATGTTATACTGTAGTTCAAACCCTCCAGCTAAATAAGATTGTTTTATGAAATACCCAGAAACTCAGAAAGTTTTTGCCTCTCTCAAATGGCTACTTTCAAGATTGGTTTTAGAGTCCCAGATGCCTGGATTCCTTCCAAATTAAAAAAGGGGCTGGGACTAACCACTCTTTTTCAAGACAAGCAAGTTTGGTCTCTTCACTATATTTGATCTGTTTTAAATCTCCAGACACATAAGTTTGCTGGCATCTGCATAGGGGTAAAACTGTGTTACTTTGTAAAAACTCCTAACTCAAAAAACATTTGTACAAACATCCTCAAACTTGATACAGAACAAGAGCAGTCTGTCTGCTACATCTGTGCCAAATTTGGTTCTGATTTGAGGTCCAGTTTCAGTGTTATAATTTTTTTTTGTTTGGGGCACCTCTAGTTTTTGAATTGGCTTATGAAATGCTGAATTGGGCTGTTGCACAATATCTATTGGTGCACTCCTGTGCACCAGTAACCTGTGTGTCTTAGGAACCCACAACAGCCCTTTATCATTTGGTTAAAGAAAATAAGCCACAAAAGTTTTTTAGCAAGTGGATAAGATATGCTATTACTTGTCCTCAGCGGAAGGCCAATTTTAAGGTTCTGCAATACAACTCACTCTCTCCATGTTATCAGAAGTTGCAATTCAGAACTCTATCTTAGCCCCGGCTTCCTGTCATCTCTTTTCAACCTCTTTGCTCAGGCACAGAAAGAAACCAAATTGCCCCAAGAGGGAGGAAACACAGGTTGGTAATAGACCAATTCCTGGCAGCATCACATTCCACCAACTCAACTCAGTTGTTTCCTAATACAACCAATATTACAAGGCTGGGGAACCTGAAAACCTTCAGATGTGATTACAACTGCCCTTCCCATCAGTCCTCCCCATCATGGCCAACAGGGAGGAGGAGGAAGTGCTGCTGCTGGTGCTCGCAGTCAGTGGGATACATTCTCCCCAAATCCCAGGTGATGGCAAAATCTTAGGCCCCAGTCTACATATACATGCGCATTGCAGCTGCTTCCTACAAAGGACAGTACTCAGGCTAACTGGCTGATTGCTCGCAGGGTGAGGGGGTGCATGAAGAAGAACAAAACTATATATATGCCTGAATTTTCATCCTGCTAAAACAGACATCCCTAAAACTATGGACAGGAGACAGCAGCACGCCAGGAGAATGAAAAAGACCTTGTGAAATTGCCCAGTAGGCTTTTCCAGAAATGAGGCAACCTGCTGCAAATCTGTACGAGTCCTTTTTCTGGCTTTGCTTCCTTCCAATCAGCTTCTGCTTGCTGAAGATGTTTTTCACATCAGGCACAATAGAACCATTCAGTCATACTCTTCCTGCAGAGTGAACCCAGCCATATATATACAGTATCTAAGACTTAATTAAACAAGATGGCATTCTTTAATTTTTCACATGCTGTGAATGTTGGAAGTTCAGTTACTGGAAGTTAAGAAATACGGAACTAAGGAATGCACATTTTGAAATCTAGGTGTGCATATGATATAGGCTTCAAGCTAGGTTAGGCTCCACTGTGTCACTGGATGCCCAGCTACGATGAGGAAACAGTAAACCTTAACCTTCAAGTTGAACATATAATATAACAAAGAGGGGAATTGCGAAGGGAAAGAACAAGCTGTTGGCTAGATCATGGGGCATTATAAGAGAAAACCTGGCAACTGAGAGATCATTTCTAACCTACTCTTAAGTCTCGGGCTGGCAACAGCTGCAGCTCTGTTTTTTAGCTTTTGAAAACCGGACACCAGAACCTCTTTCACTTTATTTCCACTGTAGTCTCAGAAAGCAAATTCCTGGCACTTGCCCACATGCAGGATTTGTTATGCACATGCACGCACATTCCCTCACAAGCAGCTGTGTCTAGATGTGGACGAAGAGGGATGGCCAAAATCAGCAGAACAGGACTGTGGGTGCTGAGAGAATTGGAATTGGCTGTACGTATAAACCAAGTATGATTCCAGAGGCAATGAAGGCTGAAGACAGACTCACTGTTCCACGCTCAGAGCACTGCATGGAGTATGAGATGAGGCCCTGTTGTCTGTACCCTCATTTCTGTTCACAAGTTTTTCCTCAAAAAAATACAATATCTGCTTGTACACAAGTGATAGCCGGGTGAAACAGATATGAATATAGAAGTATACAGACCCTCACTCTGAACTTGGCACTCACCAGTCCTGTTGCCTGGCCTGCCACCTCAATGGTGGCAGCACTGAGTAGCCATTTAAATTTCCCACAGTACTTTATCTCAGAATACCCAACATGGCTTCACCCTAACCCACTGTTAGAAATTTAAAAGAGCCACCTATCACGGTAAATATGGGAAATACACGTACATGTAAGCAAGAACTTTCAGGTCCCCTTGACTTCCTCCTTGCCCCTTGCTAATTTTCAGGCAAGATTAAGATCGAATTTGCCCTCTGCCTCAGAAAGAGCTCATCTTCTTGCTATGTGATCAGAACGGATAAAACCAGCCACCCTACGTGAAGAAAGATTTCCCCTAGAAGCACATCAGTTGTAACAGAAAAGAGCCACACAATGCCTATGCAGATACGCTGGCAGGGAACAAACATCCTTTTGACTGAGATGCACAGTAACAAGGCTGGTGCTAAAAGCTGCAGAGACCCCTGGATTAGTTCATTGTTATTGGACCCAAGTGTAGCTGAGGAAGGAGGTGGCAGTTTGTTCACATTTGGGGGGGGGGTGTCCTTCTTTCTGCAAAGGCATGCAGGAGCACTTTCCCAGCTCTTCATGTACTGTGTATGGTGCCTTGAACCAGGCACTGCTATGGTTGCCAAACGAATGCAGGCCAGGCTGGCCTTGTGCTTTGGAATAGCTGGGATAACAAAATAAATAAATAAATAAACAAAAAATTTTAAAAATCCTTTCAAAAGCACAGGGAAGCCAGCTGGAGTTGTTTTGGGTGTTAACTGGGCATCTGACTTTGCAACCCCCTGCGAGAACAACAATCAGGCCATCTTCCACTTTCCCTTCCAAAAGCACAGCGGAGCCAGCTGGAGCTGTTTTGGGTGTCAACCGGGCACCTGACCTCGCAGCCCCCTGCAAGAACAACAATCAGGCCATCTTCCACTTTCCCTACAACCTACATCTGTTCTGAGGCCTAATTTGCCCCTTCAGGAGCCATTAAAATCTCCATGTCCTCCAGTAAGATAGGACACATTCCTACATCTGAGGCCTAATTTGCCCCTTCAGGAGCCATTAAAATCTCCATGTCCTCCAGTAAGATAGGACACATGCTTACAGTACAGTTTTCTATTAAAACGATCAGCTTGCTGAGGGAAGAGAACAAGGCATGTCTTCTTCCCTCACTATGGCTACTCTGAGTTGGCAACACTGGGCTAGATGAGCCAAAATTTCTGACTCAGTAGAAAACAGGCTCATACGTCATCCTGCTGACCTAATGGGTGTGAGCAGCTGCTGTCTTTTCAAGGTTGCTCAAAAGGTAGGCTGCATGTTTGTACATCCATAGAATTACATATACAGTGGTGCCTCACAAGCCGAAAATAATTTGTTCCATGAGTAAATTTCATCTTGCAAAAGTGCGGTTTCCCATAGGAATAGCGTCATATTGCGAAATTTTCATCTTGCAAAAGCGCAGTTTCCCATAGGAATGCATTGCTATGCATTCCTATGGGAAACCTTGCAAGACGAATGGATTATTTTCATCTTGCGAGGCATCGCTCTCGCGGGGGGAAAAATCGTCTTGCGAAGCACGGCCACAGGAAAAGCCGTCTTGCAAGTCACCACAACAATCGCAAAACACTTTCGTTTTGCGAGTTTTTCGTCCGGCGAGGCATTCGTCTTGAGAGGCACCACTGTATTAAGGTTGTGGTTAAATGTGTCACATGTTTCTACACTATCGGTTTTATTGGCAGGGACTCTGATGTAGAACATAATATAAACAAACAAACAAATACATTAGGGCTGTTATTACTATTATTGTTGTTACTCCCCCATCCCAAGTTTTTTTTTTTTTGCTTAGTGTAAGTAGTGGATAAAGATAATACAGCACAAATGCATCTGTGTTAAGTTTTATGAACAGACATTATAAAATAGTAACAAAAAACAATCCACAGGAAATAATCTGCTATAACAAAGAGATCCCTGGAATAGGGTTCCAAACCCAGTGTGTAACTGCTGAATTCAGATTAATAGTTCAGGAATTGGAATCTGTGTTTTCAGCCTATAGCTAAAGAGTTGGCACTTTGACAAAAGATTTAAATCCTTATCTACATGTGTTTGAAAACACCAGTGTCAAGTTACACTGAAAACTACTTTGGTGCAAGTAAGGCTGGGTGTCCATTAGAAAAGGCACTTGGGATAATTAGGGCCCTATTTGGCCTTCACTACTACCAGGCTTACGGTCACATAAGAGGATGAGTTGTTCACACTTGTTGGGACCCTGGTCGTCCGGTCTCACCATCCATCCATCCATCCACTTGAGAAGAAGGCCTGAAGAAAGATACCTGATGCACAAATGAGGGCTTCCCTTCATGAATTCAAATTGCATTCTCACAGTTCTTCACCAGCCTTACTTTACACATTAGGCATTACTTCATCAAAGTTGCTCTAAGAGTAACATGTCAGGAACATATTACTTTTTAGTTACTTTCAAATATACATATATATATTTTTAAAAAATGCACTTTAACAGGAACACATTTTTTTAAAAAAACAGAAATATGATGCTCTAAAAGCAACCTTTTTAGGATCAAACATTTCTCATCATATCAAAAATCAATGACATTACTAATCATCCTTTTCCTTTTAGGAAGTAATTCTGTTAGAGCAATGTGGCAATGGAACCAATGACCGAGGGAGGTGGTGAGCACTCCAGTGCTGGAGGCATTCAAAAGCAAATTAGAGAGCCACCTGTCAGGTATACTTTGAATTGGATTCCTGCCTTCAGCAGAGGGCTGGACATGACAGCCTTATAGGCCCCTTCCAGCTCCATTCTTCTATAGTTCTATTATGGTAATGTCATTACAGTACTTCAAAAGTAATGCATTACAGGTAACGTCATTAAACTCTGTTCAGACATTCCTCTAATACAGGGATGAGGAATTGGGAACCCTTGATGTTTTAGGATTACAGTTCCGCCCATACCTGGTCATTCACTATGCTAGTTGGGGCTTACTAGAACCCCAACATCATCCAGAGGACCATTATTTCTGCACTCTACCCTCCTTCACGGACAGTGGTAGAGCCTGGCCAATAATGATGTGGTCCGGAGGCAAGGCAGTGAGTGTAGCCCTACACTCGGGTCAGGCAACATTAACTGTGTGAAGGCTGAATGCCTGAATATTGTTGAAAAGTGTCCGCCACAGATCTTCATCTAGACAGGGCAGGGAAGGTTGAAGAGTAACATTCCCTTCTTGGGGAAGGCAGCCCAGAACCGTCTTACAGAAAAAAGTAACGGAACTCTGGAAATTCTCACAGGAGTCTGTCATCATAAGGCACACATACCAAAAGTGTTGAGAAAGCACCACAAATGAAAGCAAGTTTATCCCGTGAACTTGTAGTAGTGTTAATGATTTCAAGTTACCTCCTAGCTGTTTTACCCCTGAGGTAAGCATTTCTACAAAAGGCAACTGATCTAGGCCACAAAAAGTACTCAGCGCGGAGTAATGTTTCTCAGCCCTCCTGCATTCTAGGGCAAAGAGCCCTGGCCTCCGAAGGAAAGTGAATGATCGTGGCTGAGCTCAACCCTGGTCAGAGCAGACACTAAACTAGCCTCAGAGATCAGGACAGGCACTGCTGAGTAGCCAGTTCGTTCCAGAAGAGCTTGGAAGGCAGCTGTGGATACCCTGCAGAATAAGGTGGTTTTCTTCCTTTACCTGACTTAATAGGTAATAAATTATTTGACTATTTTTAAAAATCCCTTCTCTCCTACTATGATATAGTCATATAGGGTGTCAAGCCCTGCCTTCCAAAGGGGGAAGAAACAAAGCCCACCCATTCTAAACATTTAAAAAAAGGCATTTAAAAAAAATCGCAGGCTAGCCAAGGACGTTTGTGTGTAGGACAATAATATTCAGAACCTCGGGCTGAGTTGGGCTATGTCCCTCTTTAAGGCACAAATGGGGGACGAAGTCACCCCTTTTTCAGAGGCAGCCTCGGGGAATGGTGAGAGGCACAGTAGACCCACTGTCGTAATCCAGATCCACCGTGGTGTGAGCGTGGGAGCTCAGCGAGGTGCCCGTTCCCAGCTGTTGGCGATCACGCAGGCTCTGGATGTAACTCTTCTCAGAGTGGAAAAGGGAGAGAGAGAGAGAGAAAAAAAGACATGTCAGCTCATGAACCAAGAAACAGGAACAGCATATTTCCTTGAATTAAGCTACTGTGGCAGAAGGGTTTCATGTTTTTCAAGGCCAACTCAGTCCGCCACAGCCCAAATGGTCTTTTGCCACCAATGCGTGTCAATTGCAGAAGATACATGTAAGCCTTCAAGGGAGGATCAACACATTGTAGTCAAGCACAACTTGAAGATACACATCCGGCTTGTGTCCCTGTCTCTTTGGAGAAAGACATATTTTATTCAACATTTATGCTAGGGCTGGACACAAATGCAGCAACCCATCTTTCCCCACCTTCCTTGGGCCCTCAAGGTCTTCTGGTTCCCCCAGGCTCCCCGCCTATCTATCTATCTATCTATCTATCTATCTATCTATCTATCTATCTATCTATCTATCTATCTATCTATCTATCTATCTATCTATCTATCTATCTATCTATCTATC